TCTTGGGTGCCACGGGGGTCGCATGGGAGCTCTCAGTCCCCAGAGTGTGGTGTGTGAATGGACTGTTAGGGTTGGGTCTTGGGCATAAAAGGGTCATTCCCCACCCATTTCCTGGAATGTGACCGTCCCTATTGAGCCATGGGCCATCCCAGTGTGTCTCCTGGAGCCTGGTGGGAGGCGGCGTTGTTTTCCTGGGGTTGGGTCATGGCGGAGCTCTGGCCCGTATGTGGTTGTGCTACAGGTCAGCCCTGGGATTTGTGGGCTTTGGGTTAAGGGGCAGCCCACATCCTGCTGTGGATCACCCTATCTCTGACATCAAGTGTCAGGAAGGGTGGCCCCCTGAGATGGGAAGTCAGCTGTCGAGGGACCTGTTCCGGGATTTTGTTGCTCAGGCTGCTTGGAATCCATTGTGTCACCTCCAGGGTGGTGGAATTTTGGGCCCAAGCAATGGAGGGGGCACCACATGACTCCCGATTGTTCAAGTGTGGCTGACTCTGTGTGTGGGAGACATGCAGAGTACGGATGGTGACCCACCAAAGAAAGCATGTGGCTCAGGCTGTGATTTCCAGTGCTTCATTGGAAAGGGTGCCTGTACGCACGCCCCCCATGCCCACGGGTAGACTATGTGACTGCCAGGTCTGCAGTGGTGCATGGCATCTGGGCCAGCCTTCTTGGTTGGCCATGACCTGGCTAATGGCCCTGGCCCATGCCCAGTGGTCCCAGGGATGCCCTGGGGTCATGCAGCAGAGCCCTCTTGGACAGTGGAGGTGCTGTCAAAGCCTGCAGTATGGCACAGCCTGGGCGTTTAGCCTGAGCCCAGTGACCTACCTGCCCTGTCCTTCCAGGGTTCGGTGGCACACAGGGCCAAGGGTGTCTGTGTCAGTGACAAGCACGTGGATCTCATCACATGCATCCATGGAGGATGAGCAAGTATGAGCTGGCATGACCTACCTCCTTCCCCTCATGGAGGTCATTTTGGACACATGTCCTCCAGCTCTCTCCCAGGTGGTGAAACCGGAGGAAAACTTGCATTGGGCTTCCTGTTCCTGGGCCAGTGGCCATCAGTCTGTTGCCCAGCCCCATGATGTGCTGAAGCTCAGGTCCTTCCTGGTGCCCTGGTCTCCTGCACTGAGCTGTGGTGAGCACATCCAGGTTCTGCTGGAATCATGTGTGAGGTGATTGGTCCTCTGGGTTGGGTCGATGATGAGAACCTTACATTGTCCTGAAGAGAGGTGATGACTTAAAAATCATGCTCAATAGGATTACGCTGAGGCCCAACCTAGGTGAGAATTTTGGAAGAGGATGCTGGGATCCCAAGATCCTTGGTAGGGCCACTATATTTTGGGATGTAGAACTTGAGGCCCTGAAGGTCATCTCAGGGGTGCCCAGCCCTGTCTCTGTGCCCCTCTGGGAGGCAGCCCAGGCTCCTTGTGTGGGCTTGGTGTCTGGACTCAGGTTGCCCGGGGATGGGGCATGTTGTCGGCTCCTTCCTGATCACATGTTCTCCCCCTTGTCTTTCAGTGAGCTCTTCTGCCCAGATGGGACCCATGGCCTTAAGTGGCATAGGTATGTATATCCTGTTGGGGTCGTGGGCCATGAATCAGGAAGCCTGGGGCCATTGAGGGTCAGCCTTCAGGCCACTAGGGTTTTCTCAGAGTGCCACCGGGGAGGGAACATTTCTCCAGTAGGGTCATTTTCTTAGAAATCTGACCCTAGGAGCACACATTTCCTGAAGCCCTGCAGGGTGATGGTGGTCCAGGCAGAGAAGGTTCCTTCAGCCCAATATAGAGCAGCTCCCAGCTGAAACTCAGTGGGCTGGTTAGGGCTGGAGGACTGCCCAGGCCACATGAGGTGGGCAACAGGGGCTCTAGGGCAGTCTGGGAGTTACACTGGAGTTCTCCCTGCGTGGACAGTAGTGGGTTATTGGGCCCACGCAAACAGGCCCTAGAGATTCAGGACTGCCCCCATCCATGACCCTAAATGGGACCGACCCTGTTGAGTAATGGGCCATCTTAGTAGTACCTCCTTGAGCCTGGTAGTGGGAGGCACTGTTTCAATGCAGTTGGATCAAGGCTGAGCTCTGGCTGGTGCCTGGTGGTGCTGCAGGCAGCCCTGGAGGTTGTGGTCTTTGGGCCAAGGGGGCAGCTCACATCCCGCTGGGGTCACCCCTTCCTTGAGATTCAGTGGCAGGAAGGGTGTCCTCCTGAGGTGGGAAGTCCTGCTGTCCAGGGACCTGTTCTGCGAATTTGCCCCACAGGCTACTTCTGAGCCATGGGGTCACCTCCAGGGTGGAAGGGTCTTGATCCCAAGGAAAGGAGAGGACACCATGTGGTTTCTGATTAGCCCAGTGTGACCTGGCTCTGTGTGTGGGAGGTGTAGGGCATGATGAAGACCCACCAGAGAAAGCACGTGGGCCCGGAGGCCTCCAGGCTTTGATTTCTGGTGTGTGCTTGGAGAGGGCACCAGGGTGGGTACCCACCATGCCCAGGGCAGGCTCTGCGACTGCCAGGTCTGCATTGGCTCCTGGTGTCAGTGCCAGACTCCTTGGTTGGCCCCGAGCAAGTTGGTGGCCCCGATCCCTGCCCTATGGTCCCAGCGCGGCCCTACGGTTGTTCGGAGGAAACGGTCAGAGCAGTGGAGGTGCTCTTGGGGCCTGCAGTAAAGCACAACCCAAGCATCTTGCCCCAGCACAGTGACCTACATTCCCTGTCTTTCCAGGGCTTGGTGGTTGGGAGGGCCAATGTTACCCTGTGTCCGTGATGGGTCAGTATTCTACATGGATTCCATCACATGGGCATCCCCTACCCAACTACCCACACTGATATGCGAGGCCCTGGGTGGACATGTGTCCTTCTGCTGTCACCCCAGATGATGAGCCTGGAAGAAGACTTCTGTTGGGCCTCAACAGGCCTCAGGCCAGTGTCCGTCAGCCTGGTGTACATCCCCTGGTGTGTTGAAGCTCAGACCCTCACTGGCATCTTGGTCTCCTGCACTGAGCTGTGGTGAGCACATCCAGGTTCTGCTGGATGCATGCGTGGGGACAGGCTTGCCCTTGATTGGGTCAATGATGAGAACCTTATATTGTCTGAAGAGAGGTGATGACTTAAAAATCATGCTCAATAGGATTACGCTGAGGCCCAACCTAGGTGAGAATGTTGGAAGAGGACACTGGGATCCTGAGATCTCCAACAGGTCCACTGTATTTTTGGCTGGAGACCTGGAGGTCCTGAAGGGCATCTGGAAGGAGGCCCAACCCTGTCTCTGTGCTCTTCCTTGAGGCAACTCAGGCTACCTCTGCAGGCTTGGTGTTGGTGCTGCAGTTCCCTGGGGCCAGGGAACATTGGTGGCTCCTTCCTGAGTCCCCCATTCCTCCCTTGTGTTTTTCAGTGAGCTTTTCCTCCCAGGCGGGCCCCCTGGCATTGACTGGCATAGGTGAGTGAATCCTGCGGGGGTCATGGGCCATTAGCCAGGCCGTGTGGGGTAGCCGAGGTTCAGCCTTTGAGCCAGAAGGGTTTTCTCAGGCAGCCGACCTGAATTCCCACCTGGAGAGATGGGTTCTCCAGGAGGGTGGCTTTTTTGGGAATTAGACCCAAGGAGGATACCTGAAGCCCTGCGGGGGTGACGGTGGTCCAGGCAGGAAAGGGTTCTGTCAGCCCCAGGCAAGGCAGCTTCTAGCTGAGACTCGGTGCTTGGGTCAGTTCTCAAGGACTGCCTGAACACGAGGGGGTCCAGAGGGGCTCTTGGGTGCTACGGGGGTCGCATGTGAGCTCTCAGTCCCCAGAGTGTGGTGTGTGAATGGACTGTTAGGGTTGGGTCTTGGGCATAAAAGGGTCGTGTCCCACCCATTTCCTGGAATGTGACTGTCCCTATTGAGCCATGGGCCATCCCAGTGTGTCTCCTGGAGCCTGATGGTAGGCGGCGTTGTTTTCCTGGGTTTGGGTCAAGGCGGAGCTCTGGCCCGTATGTAGTTGTGCTGCACGTTAGCCCTGGGACTTGTGGGCTTTGGGTTAAGGGGCAGCCCACATCCTGCTGTGGATCACCCTATCTCTGACATCAAGTGTCAGGAAGGGTGGCCCCCTGAGATGGGAAGTCAGCTGTCGAGGGACCTGTTCCGGGATTTTGTTGCTCAGGCTGCTTGGAATCCATTGTGTCACCTCCAGGGTGGTGGAATTTTGGGCCCAAGCAATGGAGGGGGCACCACATGACTCCCGATTGTTCAAGTGTGGCTGACTCTGTGTGTGGGAGACATGCAGAGTACGGATGGTGACCCACCAAAGAAAGCATGTGGCTCAGGCTGTGATTTCCAGTGCTTCATTGGAAAGGGTGCCTGTACGCACGCCCCCCATGCCCACGGGTAGACTATGTGACTGCCAGGTCTGCAGTGGTGCATGGCATCTGGGCCAGCCTTCTTGGTTGGCCATGACCTGGCTAATGGCCCTGGCCCATGCCCAGTGGTCCCAGGGATGCCCTGGGGTCATGCAGCAGAGCCCTCTTGGACAGTGGAGGTGCTGTCAAAGCCTGCAGTATGGCACAGCCTGGGCGTTTAGCCTGAGCCCAGTGACCTACCTGCCCTGTCCTTCCAGGGTTCGGTGGCACACAGGGCCAAGGGTGTCTGTGTCAGTGACAAGCACGTGGATCTCATCACATGCATCCATGGAGGATGAGCAAGTATGAGCTGGCATGACCTACCTCCTTCCCCTCATGGAGGTCATTTTGGACACATGTCCTCCAGCTCTCTCCCAGGTGGTGAGACCGGAGGAAGACTTTCTTTGGGTCTGCTGTTCCTGGGCCAGTGGCCATCAGCCTGTTGCCCAGCCCTGTGATATGCTGAAGCTCAGGCCCTTCCTGGTGCCCTGGTCTCCTGCACCGAGCTGTAGTGAGCACATCTGGGTCCCGCTGGATGCATACGTGAGGTGGTTGGTCCCCTGAGTTGGGTCGATGATGAGAACCTTACATTGTCCTGAAGAGAGGTGATGACTTAAAAATCATGCTCAATAGGATTACGCTGAGGCCCAGCCTAGGTGAGAATTTTGGCAGAGAACGCTGGGATCCCGAGATCCCCAGCAGGGTTACTACATTTTGGGATGTAGAACTTGAGGCCCTGAAGGTCATCTCAGGGGTGCCCAGCCCTGTCTCTGTGCCCCTCTGGGAGGCAACCCAGGCTCCCTGTGTGCGTTGGTGTCTGGGCTCTGGGTCCCCGGAGATGGGGCATATTGGCTACTCCTTCCTGAGCCCGTGTTCTCCCCCTTGTCTTTCAGTGAGCTCTTCTGCCCAGGTTGGCCCCTGGCCTGAAGCGGCATAGGTGAGTGTATCCTGTTGGGGTCATGGGTCATGAAATAGGCAGCGTGGGGCCATTGAGGGTCAGCCTTCAGGCCACTAGGGTTTTCTCCGGGTGCCACTGGGGAGGGAACATTTCTCCAGTAGGGTCGCTTCCTTTGGAATCTGACCCTAGGAGCACTCATTTCCTGAAACCCTGCAGAGGTGATGGTGGTCGAGGCAGGAAAGGGTTCCTTCAGCCCAACATAGAGCAGCTCCCAGCTAAAACTTGGTGGGCAGATCAGGCTGGAGGACTGCCCAGGCCACATGAGGAGGCAACAGGGGCTCTAGGGCAGCCTGGGGGTTACACTGGAGTTCTCCCTGCCTGGACAGTGGTGGATGATTGGGCCCACACAGACAGGCCCCACAGATTCAGGACGGCCCCCCATCCATGACCCTGAATGGGACCGACCCTGTTGAGTAATGGGCCATCTTAGTGGTACCTCCCTGAGCCTGGTAGTGGGAGGCACTGTTTCAATGCAGTTGGATCAAGGCTGAGCTCTGGCTGGTGCCTGGTGGTGCTGCAGGCAGCCCTGGAGGTTATGGTCTTTGGGCCAAGGGGGCAGCTCACATCCTGCTGGGGTCACCCCTTCCTTGAGATTCAATAGCGTGAAGGGTGTCCTCCTGAGGTGGGAAGTCCTGCTGTCCAGGGACCTGTTCTGGGAATTTGCCCCACAGGCTACTTCTGAGCCACGGGGTCACCTCCAGGGTGGAAGGGTCTTGATCCCAAGGAAAGGAGAGGACACCACGTGGTTTCTGATTGGCCCAGTGTGACCTGGCTCTGTGTGTGGGAGGTGTAGGGCAAGATGAAGACCCACCAGAGAAAGCACATGACCCTGGAGGCCTCCAAGCTTTGATTTCTGGTGTGTGCTTGGAGAGGGCACCAGGGTGGGTACCCACCATGCCCAGGGAAGGCTCTGCCACTGCCAGATCTGCATTGGCTCATGGTGTCACGGCCAGATGTGTTGGTTGGCCATGAGCAGGTTGGTTGCTCTGACCCGTGCCCCATGGTCCCAGTGCGGCCCTGGGGTTGTTTGGGAGAGCCAGCCTGAGCAGTAGAGGTGCTCTTGGGGCCTGCAGTAGGGCACACCCCAGGCATCTTGCCCCAGCACAGTGACCCACATTGCCTGTCTTTCCAGGGTTTGGTGGCCGGGAGGGCCAAGGGTGCTCCACGTCCATGTTGACTCAGTGTCTGCATGGATTCCATCACATGGGCATCCCCTACCCACCTTCCCCACACTGATACGTGAGGCCCTGGTTGGACACATGTCCTTCTTCTATCCCTACAGATGGTGAGCCTGGAGGAAGACTTGTATTGGGCCCCCACAGGCCCCAGGCCAGTGTCCTTCAGCCTGGTGCTCATCCCCCAGTATGCTGAAGCTCAGACCCTCCCTGGCACCCTGGTCTCCTGCACTGAGCTGTGGTGAGCATATCCAGGTTCTGCTGGATGCATGGGTGGGGAGGGGCTTGCTCTTGGTTGGGTCAATGATGAGAACCTTATATTGTCTGAAGAGAGGTGATGACTTAAAAATCATGCTCAATAGGATTACGCTGAGGCCCAACCTAGGTGAGAGATGTTGGAAGAGGACACTGGGATCCCAAGATCTCCAACAGGGCCACTGTATTTTTGGCTGGAGACCTGGAGGCCCTGAAGGGCATCTGGAAGGAGGCCCAACCCTGTCTCTGTGCTCTTCCTTGAGGCAACCCAGGCTACCTCTGCAGGCTTGGTGTTGGTGCTGCAGTTCCCTGGGGCCAGGGAACATTGATGGCTCCTTCCTGAGCCCCCATTCCTCCCTTGTGTTTTTCAGTGAGCTTTTCCTCCCAGGCGGGCCCCCTGGCATTGACTGGCATAGGTGAGTGAATCCTGCGGGGGTCATGGGTCATTAGCCAGGCCGTGTGGGTTCACCGAGGTTCAGCCTTTGGGCCACAAGGGTTTTCTCAGGCAGCCAACCTGAATTCCCACCTGGGAGAGTTGGGTTCTCCAGGAGGGTGTCTTTTTTGGGAATTAGACCCAAGGAGGATACCCGAAGCCCTGCGGGGGTGACGGTGGTCCAGGCAGGAAAGGGTTCTGTCAGCCCCAGGCAAGGCAGCTTCCAGCTGAGACTTGGTGCTTGGGTCAGTTCTCAAGGACTGCCTGAACACGAGGGGGTCCAGAGGGGCTCTTGGGTGCCACGGGGGTCGCATGGGAGCTCTCAGTCCCCAGAGTGTGGTGTGTGAATGGACTGTTAGGGTTGGGTCTTGGGCATAAAAGGGTCGTGTCCCACCCATTTCCTGGAATGTGACCGTCCCTATTGAGCAATGGACCATCCCAGTGTGTCTCCTGGAGCCTGGTAGGAGGTGGCATTGTTTTCCTGGGTTTGGGTCAAGGCAGAGCTCTGGCCCGTATGTAGTTGTGCTGCAGGTCAGCCCTGGGACTTGTGCACTTTGGGTCAAGGGGCAGCCCGCATGGCACTGGGGATCACCCTATCTCTGACATCAATATCAGGAAGGGTGGCTTCCTGAGAAGGGACGGCCCACTGTCGAGGGACATGTTCCAGGATTTTGTTGCTCAGGCTGCTTGGAATCCATTGTGTCACCTCCAGGGTGGTAGAGTTTTGGGCCCAAGCAATGGAGAGGGCACCATGTGGCTCCCGATTGTTCAAGTATGGCTGACTCTGTGTGTGGGAGACATGTGGAGTATGGGTGGTGACCCACCAAATTTGCATGTGGCTCAGGCTGTGATTTCCAGTGCATGCTTGGAGAGGCCACCTGTACACATGCCCCCCCTGCCCAGGCTATGCGACTGCCAGACATGGCATCTGGGCCAGCCTTCTTGGTTGGCCATGACCTGGCGAATGGCCCTGGCCTGTGCCCAGTGGTCCCAGGGAAGCCCTGGGGTCATGCAACAGAGTCGTCTTGGGCAGTGGAGGTGCTCTCAAAGCCTGCAGTATGGCAAAGCCTGGGCGTTTTGCCTGAGCCCAGTGACCTACCTGCCCTGTCCTTCCAGGATTCATTGGCAAGCAGGCCCAAGGGTGCCCCGTGCCAGTGACAAGTCCGTATTTCACATGGATTTCATCACATGTTCCTTGGAGGATGAGCAGGTGTGAGCTGGCATGCCCTACCTACTTCCCCACGTGGAGATCATTTTGGACACATGTCCTCCAGCTCTCTCCCAGGTGGTGAGACCAGAGGAAGAGTTGCGTTGGGCCTCCTGTTGCTGGGCCAGTGGTCATCAGCCTGTTGCCCAGCCCCTGATAAGCTGAAGCTCAGGCCCTTCCTGGTGCTCTGGTCTCCTGCACTGAGCTGTGGTGAGCACATCTGGGTCCCGCTGGATACATGCATGAGGTTGTTGGTCCCCTGAGTTGGGTCGATGATGAGAACCTTATATTGTCCTGAAGAGAGGTGATGACTTAAAAATCATGCTCAATAGGATTACGCTGAGGCCCAGCCCAGATGAGAATTTTGAAAGAGGACGCTGGGATCGCAAGATTTCCTGCAGCACCACTGTATTTTGGGCTGGAGAACTTGAGGCCCTCAAGGGCATCTCAGGGTGCCCAGCCCTGTCTCTGTGACCCTGTGTGAGGCAACCCAGGCTCCCTCTGTGGGCTTGGTGTCTGGGCTCTGGTTCCCCAGGGATGGGGCATGTTGGCGGCTACTTCCTGACCCTGTGTTCTCCCCCATGTCTTTCAGTGAGCTCTTCTGCCCAGGTGGGACCCATGGCCTTAAGCGGCATAGGTGAGTGTATCCTGTTAGGATCATGAGCCATGAATGAGGAAGCTTGGGGCCATTGACAGTCAGCCTTCGGACCACTAGGATTTTCTCAGGGTGCCACCGGGGACTGAGCGTTTCTTCAATAGGGTCGCTTCCTTGGGAATCTGACCCTAGGAGCATGCAATTCCTGAAGCCCTGCAGAGGTGATGGTGGTCTAGGCAGAAAAGGTTCCTTCAACCCAACATAGAGCAGCTCCCAGCTGAAACTTGGTGGGCAGGTCAGGGCTCAAGGACTGCCCACGCCACATGAAAGGGGCAATTGCAGCTCTGGGGCAGCCTGGGGGTCACGCTGGAGTTCTCCTTCCCTGGACATTGGTGGTTGATTGAGCCCACACAGACAGGCCCTGGAGATTCATCACTGCACCCCATCCATGGCCCTGATCAGACCGACCCTACTGAGTGATGGGCCATCTTAGTGGTACCTCCTTGAGCCTGGTAGGGGGAGGCACTGTTTCAATGCATTTGGATCAAGGCTGAGCTCTTGCTAGTGCCTGGTGGTGCTGCAGGCAGCCCTGGGGATTGTGGTCTTTGGGCCAAGGGGGCAGCTCACATCCCACTGGGGTTTCCCCTTCCTTGAGATTCAGTGGCGAGAAGGGTGTCCTCCTGAGGTGGGAAGTCCTGCTGTACAGGGGCCTTTTCTGGGAATTTGCCCCACAGGCTGCTTCTGAGCCATGGGGTCACCTCCAGGGTGGCAGGGTCTTGATCCCAAGGAAAGGAGAGGACACCACGTGGTTTCTGATTGGCCCAGTGTGGCCTGGCTCTGTGTGTGGGAGGTGTAGGGCAAGATGAGGACCCACCAGAGAAAACACGTGGCCCCAGAGGTCCCCAGGCTTTGATTTCTGGTGTGTGCTCGGAGAGGGCACCAGGAAGGGCACCCACCATGCCCAGAGCAGGCTCTGTGACTGCCAGGTCTGCATTGACTCCTGGTGTTAAGGCCAGACTCATTGATTGGCCATGAGCAGGTTGGTTTCCCTGACCCATGCCCCATGGTCCCAGTGCGGCCCTGGGGTTGTTTGGGGGAGCCAGCCCGAGCAGTAGAGGTGCTCTTAGGGCCTGCAGTGGGGCACAGCCCAGGCATCTTGCCCCAGCCCAGTGACCCACTTCTGTGTCTTTCCAGGATTTGGTGGCCAGGATGGCTAATGTTCCCCCGTGTCCATGATGGGTCAGTGTTCTGCATGGATTCCATCACATGGGCATCCCCTGCCCACCTTCCTCACACTGATATGTGAGGCCTTGGTTGGACACATGTCCTTCTCCTGTCACCCCAGATGGTAAACCTGGAGGAAGAGTTGTGTTGGGCCCCCACAGGCCCCAGGCCAGTGTCCTTCAGCCTGGTGCTCATCCCCCCGGTGTGCTGAAGCTCAGACCCTCCCTGGCACCCTGGTCTCCTGCTGAGCTGTGGTGAGCACACCCAGGTTCTGCTGGATGCATGCGTGGGGAGGGGCTTGCCCTTGGTTGGGTCAATGATGAGAACCTTATATTGTCTGAAGAGAGGTGATGACTTAAAAATCATGCTCAATAGGATTACGCTGAGGCCCAACCTAGGTGAGAATGTTAGAAGAGGACACTGGGATCCTGAGATCTCCAACAGGTCCACTGTATTTTTGGCTGGAGACCTGGAGGTCCTGAAGGGCATCTGGAAGGAGGCCCAACCCTGTCTCTGTGCTCTTCCTTGAGGCAACTCAGGCTACCTCTGCAGGCTTGGTGTTGGTGCTGCAGTTCCCTGGGGCCAGAGAACATTGGTGGCTCCTTCCTGATCCCCCATTCCTCCCTTGTGTCTTTCAGTGAGCTTTTCCTCCCAGGCGGGCCCCCTGGCATTGACTGGCATAGGTGAGTGAATCCTGCGGGGGTCATGGGCCATTAGCCAGGCCGTGTGGGGTAGCCGAGGTTCAGCCTTTGAGCCAGAAGGGTTTTCTCAGGCAGCCGACCTGAATTCCCACCTGGAGAGATGGGTTCTCCAGGGGGTGGCTTTTTTGGGAATTAGACCCAAGGAGGATACCTGAAGCCCTGCGGGGGTGACGGTGGTCCAGGCAGGAAAAGGTTCTATCAGACCCAGGCAAGGCAGCTCCTAGCTGAGACTCAATGCTCAGGTCAGTTCTCAAGGACTGCCTGAACACGAGGGGGTCCACAGGGGCTCTGGGTGCCACGGGGGTCACATGGGAGCTCCCAGTCCCCGGAGTGTGGTGTGTGAATGGACCCTTAGGGTTGGGTCTTGGACATAAAATGGTCATGCCCCACCCATTGCCTGGAATGTGACCATTCTTATTGAGCAATGTACCATCCCAGTAGGTCTCCTGGAGCCTGGTGAGAGGTGACGTTGTTTTCCTGCGGTTGGGTCAAGGCCTCTGCCTTGCCCGTACCTGGTTGTGCGACAGGTCAGCCCTGGGATTCGTGGCCTTGGTCCACAGGGCAGCCCGCATCCTGCTGGGGATCACCCTATCTCTGACATCAAGTGTCAGGAAGGGTGGCCCCTTGAGAAGGGATGGCCTGCTGTCGAGGGACCCGTTCTGGGATTTTGTTGCTCAGGCTGCTTGGAATCCATTGTGTCACCTCCATGGTGGTGAGTTTTGGGCCCAAGCAATGGTGAGGGCATCGTGTGGCTCCCAGTTGTTCAAGTGTGGCTGGCTCTGTGTGTGAGAGATACGCGGAATACGAGTGGTGACCCACCAAAGAAAGCATGTGAGTCAGGTTGTGATTTCCAGTGTGTGCTTGGAGAGGGCACCTGTGTGCAAACGTGTTCATGGAGGACGAGCAAGCATCAGTTAGCATGCCCTACCTCCTTCCCCACATGGAGGTCATTTTGGACAGATGTCCTCCACCTCTCTCCTAGATGGTGAGACAGGAGAAAGACTTGTGTTGGGCCTGTTCCTGGGGCTGTGGCCATCAGCCCGGTGCCCAGCTCCTGATGCACTGAGGCTCAGGCCCTTCCTGGCGCCCTGGTCTCCTGCACTGAGTTGTGGTGAGCACATCTGGGTTCTGCTGGAATCATATGCGAGGTTGTTGGTCCCCTGGGTTGGGTCGATGATGAGAACCTTATATTGTCCTGAAGAGAGGTGATGACTTAAAAATCATGCTCAATAGGATTACGCTGAGGCCCAGCCTATATGAGAATTTTGAAAGAGGATGCTGGGATAGCAAGATCCCTGGCAGGGCTACTAGTCACTGTATTTTGTGCTGAAGAACTTGAGGCTCTCAAGGGCATCTCAAGGGGACCCAGCCATGTCTCTGTGCCCCTCCATGAGGCAGCCCAGGCTCACTGTGTGGGCTTGGTGTCCGGGCTGTGTTTCCCCAGGGATAGGGCATGTTGGTGGCTCCTTCCTGAGCCCGTGTTCTCCCCCGTGTCTTTCATGAGCTCTTCTGCCCAGGTGGGGCCCATTGCCTTAAGCAGCATAGGCATGTGTATCCTGTTGGGGTTATAGGCCATGAATGAGGCAACATTGGGCCATTGAAGGTCAGCCTTTAGGCCACTAGGGTTTTCTCAGGGTGCCAACCTATTTCCCACTGGGGAGGGAACATTTCTCCAGTAGCGTTGCTTCCCTGGGGATCTGACCCTAGGAGCACGCATTTCCTGAAGTCCTGCAGGGTGATGGTGCTCCAGGCAGGAAAGGGTTCCTTCAGCCCAACATAGAGCTGCTCCCAGCTGAAATTCTGTGGGCTGGTCAGGCCTTGAGGACCCCCCAGGCACATCATGGGGGACACAGAAGCTCTGGGGCTCCCTGGGGGTCACACTAGAGTTCTCCCTCCCGGAAGAGTGGTCGGTGATTGGGCCCACACAGTCAGGCAGTGGAGATTCAAGGAGTGCACCCCACCCATGGCCCTGAATGGGACCGACCCTGTTGAGTAATCGCCATCTTAGTGGCACCTCCTTGAGCCTGTTGGTGGGGGTGCTGTTTCAGTGAGGTTGAGTCAAAGCTGAGCTCTCCTGGTGCCTGGCGGTGCTGCAGGCTGGCCCTTCTTTGGGCCATGGGGACAACTTGTGTCCCACTGGGGTCATCCTTTCCTTTAGGTCCAGGGGTGGGAAGGGTGGCCTCCTGCGGTGGGAAGGCCAGCTGTTCAGGGACTTGTCCTGGAAATTTGCCACACAGGCTGCTTCTGAGTCATGGGGTCACCTCCAGGGTGGTGGGATCTTGAGCCCAAGAAAAGGAGAGGACATCATGTGATTCCTGATTGGCCAAGACTCCTTGGTTGGCCAGGAGCAGGTTGGTTGCCCTGGCCTATGCCCCATGGTCCTGGTGTGGCCCTGGGATTGTTCTGGGGAGCCAGCCCGGGCAGTGGAGGTGCTCTCAGGGCCTGCAGTACGGTGCAGCCCAGACATCTTGCCCCAGCACAGTGACCCACTTGCTCTTTCTAGGGTTTGGTGGTCGGGAGGGCCAATGGTGCTCTGTGTCCATGTTGGGTCGGTGTTCTGCATGGATCCCCATCGCATGGGTATCCCCTACCCACCCTCCCTGCACTGATATGTGAGGCCTTGGTTAGACACATGTCCTCCTCCTGTCCCTCCAGATGGTGAGCCTGGAGGAAGGCTTGTGTTGAGTCCCCACAGGCCCCAGGCCAGTGTCTGTCAACCTGGTGCTCATCCCCTGGTGTGCTGAAACTCGGACCCTCCCTGGCACCCTGGTCTCCTGCACTGAGCTGTGGTGAGCACATCCAGGTTCTGCTGGAGGCATGCTTGGCGTGGGGGTTGCCCTTGGTTGGGTCAATGATGAGAACCTTATATTGTCCTGAAGAGAGGTGATGACTTAAAAATCATGCTCAATAGGATTACGCTGAGGCCCAGCCTAGGTGAGAATCTTGGAAGAGGACGCTGGGATTCCTGGGATGACTGCTGTATTTTGGGCTGGAGACCTGCAGGTCCTGAAGGCCATCAGGAAGGTCCAACACTGTCTCTGCGCTCCTCTGTGAGGCAGCCCAGGCTCCCTGAGGGGGCTTGGTGTCGGGGCTCCTCTTCCTCAGGGGTGGGGCTGGTTGGTGGCTCCTTCCTGAGCCCCCATTTTCCCCTTGTGTCTTTCAGTGAGCTCTTCCACCCAGCGGGCCCCTTGGCATTGACTGGCATAGGTGAGTGGATCCTGCTGGTGTCATTGGTCATGAGCCGGGCCATGTGGGGTCACCAAGGGTCAGCCTTTGGGATAAGAGGGTTTCCTCAGGGAACCAACCTGAATTCCCATCAGAGAGGCATGGGTTCTCCAGGAGGGCTGCTTTTTTGGGAATTGGACCCAAGGAGGATACCTTCCCTGAACTCTATAGGAGGGACGGCGGTCCAGGCAGGAAAGTGTTCCTTCAGCCCCACCCATGGCAGCACTCGGTTGAGACTCAGTGCTCAAGTCAGGCCTGAAGGGAGTTAGAGGGGAGCTGTTTGTCCCTGGAGTGTGGTGCATGAATCTGCCCTTGGGGTTGGGTCATGGAGATTCAAGGATGGCGCCTCACCCATGGCCCTAATTAGAATTGTCCCTGTTGACAAATGGGCCTTTCCAGTGAGCCTCCTGGAGCCTGGTAGGGGGTGGTGATTTTCTCCCTGGGGTTGAGTCATGGATGGGAACCCACCATAGAAAGCATGTGGCTCTGGAGGCCCCCAGGGTTTGATTTCTAGTGCCTGCTTGGAGTGGGCACCAGGGCCAGTGCCCCCCATGCCCAGGGGCAGGCTCTGTGACTGCCAGGTCTGCACTGGCTCCTGGCATCTGGACCAGCCTCCTTGGTTGACCATGAGCTACTTGGTTGCCCTGGCCCATGCCCCGTGGTCCTGGTGAGGCCCTGGGGTTTTTTGGGAGAGCTGGCCCAGGCAGTGGAGGTGCTCTTGGGGTCTGCAGTAGGGTGCAGCCCAGGCATCTTGCCTAATCCCAGTGATCCGCTTGCCCTGTCTTTCCAGGGTTTTGTGGCAGGGAGGGCAAAGGGTGCCCTGCATCTGTGATGGGTCAGTGTTCCACATGGATCCTATTACATGGGTCCATGGAGGATGAGCATGTGTGAGCCGGCACCCCCTTCCCACTTCTTCTCTTGGAGCTGTGAGGTCCTGTTTGGACAGCTGTCCTCCTCCTGTCCCACAAGAGAGTGAGCCTGGCTGGTCCCGGGACAGTGTCTGTCAGCCAGGTGCGCAGCCTTTGGTGTGCTAGAACTTGGGCTTTTCTTGGCAGCCTGGTGTCCTGCATTGAGCTGTGGTGGGCTCGTCCAGGTCCCGCTGGTTACCTGCACGGCAACAGGAGTGCCCTTGGTTGGGTCGATGATGAGAACCTTATTTTGTCTTGAGGAGAGGTTATGTGATGGGTGTTGTGGCAGCTCTTTGTATTTCGTTCTCTTCAGCGCTTTTTGTGTGTTCTCTTTGTGTATTTTTTTCCCTTTGTGTGTTTTACTTTCACAAAGGCAGCAGCAAATGTTTTATGGGTGGCGGTATTTTTCATTTTTATTTACTTCCTAATTTGATAGTGTTTTAGTTGGAATAGACAGTCTCATTGTAGTTTTTCAGAAAGATGCTTTTTTTCTGTACATTATATGATTGCATATAATTTATCCAGTTGTTGTTTTTTTAAAAGAAACTGGGGACTACAGTCGAATGCACTGCCCATCTCCTACTTTATTGAAAAAGATTGTATGGAAATCCAAAGATGAGAAAGTAGACAAGCACAGCAGAGGACATTTATTTTGATATAACCACAGAAATTCATCAATATGGCTTTATCATATCGATGGTTTTTCAAAGAAATATGAAATCTTTTGATAATGGATTGTCTCATTTGTGTTTCTCCTTATATCATATTTTGCCATCAATACAAATTGCAATGCTTAGAAATTTAAAGAACACCTTCTGAAGTGGAAGATCTAGCTAAAGAATTAGATTGCTATTGGCTGAAATGTTGCAGTAATCACGTGATAGGCTTAATACGACATGAGTTACATGCTGAATGCTCTAAGGTAGAAAGTAGGTAACAAGGAATAACAGGTAAATAATGTAAGTCAGGAGAAGGAAACTCTAGGATAGAATCATTAGAAAAGGCTTGATGTCAACAGCAGTCTGTAGAATTTACAGCGTATAGAATTTACAATAAGTGCCTTTTTTGTGCTCATCAATGCTCTGCTTGTGTTGTAGGAGAAGTTAGTTCCCTTGAAGAAATGTAAATACAAATTTCCAAATTGCAATGCAGAGGGAAAAAAGAATGAGAAAGTAAAGAATATCCAAGAACTCTGGAAGCATTTCAAAAAGTGTAAAGATGCATAGTGAGAACATCAGAATAATAAGGAGATAAAGGGAAAGAAATATTTGACACAACAATGACTTGAACATTTTCTAAAATTAATGATGAACAGAAACCCACATGTTCAGGAAGCTCAGAGAACATTACGCAGAATAAAAATATTTTACAAATCGACACCTTTGCATTTCATATTTAAAGTCCAGAAAAATCATAGACTAAGGGAAAATTTTGATAGGAGCAATAGGAAGAAAACCATCTTACCTATGGAGCAGCAAGAATAAAAATTGCTTTGAAATTATCTTCAGAATCCATGAAAGCAAGACGTGAGTCAGGGTGAAATACTTAAAAGTAAAAAACAAAAAAATCTACCAACTTTGAATTTTCTGTTCATCAAAATTATTCTTCAAAAGTGAAGGAGAAATACTCTCTGAGACCAACAAAAATTGAGAGAACTTCTTGCCACTACACCAACCTTTTAATAAACATAAAAAGAAATTCTTCAGAAAGGATAAAAATGACATAGGTCAGAAAATCTAATTTACATAAAGAAAAGCATTGGAGAAGAAATATATGAAGAAAAAATTAAGTATATATATATTTTTTATTCATAATTGATCTTTCAACATTTTGTTCAAAATAATAACAGGATTATATTTGGTGATTATAGGTTATAGATAAGTGAAATGAATGACAGCAATATTATAAGTCATCCGGTTCCAAGATGGCTGAATAGGAATAGCTCCAGTCTACAGCTCCCAGCGTGAGTGACACAGAAGATGGGTGATTTCTGCATTTCCAACTGAGGTACCAGGTTCATCTCACTGAGGTTTGTTGGACAGTGGGTGCAGCCCACGGCATGTGAGCTGAAGCAGGATGGAGCATCGCCTCACCTGGGAAGCACAAGAGGTCAGGGAATTCCCTTTCCTAGCCAAAGGAAGCCGTGACAGACGGTACCTGGAAAATCGGGACACTCCCACCCTAATACTGTGCTTTTCTAATGGTCTTAGCAGACGGCACACCAGGAGATTATATCCCGCACCTGGCTCGGAGGGTCCCATGCCCACGAAGCCTCACTCACTGCTAGCACAGCAGTCTGAGATCAAACTGCAAGGTGGCAGGCAGGCTGGAGGAGTGGCGTCCACCATTGCTGGGGCTTGAGTAGGTAAACAAAGCGGCTGGGAAGCTCGAACTGGGTGGAGCCCACCATAGCTCAAGGAGGCCTGCCTGCTTCTGTAGACTCCACTTCTGTGGGCAGGGCGTAGCTGAACAAAAGGCAGCAGAAACTTCTGCAGACTTAAATGTCCCTGTCTGACAGATTTGAAGAGAATAGTGGTTCTCCTAGCACAGAGTTTGAGATCTGAGAATGGACAGACTGCCTCCTCAAGTGGGTCCCTGACCTCCGAGTAGCCTAACTGGGAGACACCTCTCAGTAGGGGCCAACTGACACCTCATACAACCAGCTGCCCCTCTGAGATGAAGCTTCTAGAAGAAGTATCAGGCAGCAACATCTGCCGTTCTGCAATATTTACTGTTCTGCAGCCTCCAATGGTGATACCCAGGCAAACAAGGTCTGGAGTAGACCTCCAGCAAACTCCAACAGACCTGCAACGAGGACCCTGACTGTCAGAAGGAAAAATAACAAACAGAAAGGACATCCATACCAAAACCCCATCTGTACATCACCATCATCAAACACCAAGGTAGATAAAAACACAAAGATGAGGAGAAACCAGAGCAGAAAGACTGAAAATTCTAAAAATCAGAGCGCCTCTTCTCCTCCAAAGGAACACAGCTCCTCGCCAGCAGTGGAACAAAGCTGGATGGAGAATGACATTGACGAGTTGACAGAAATAGGCTTCAGACGATCAGTAATAACAAACTTCTCTGAGCTAAAGGAGGATGTTCAAACCCATCACAAAGAAGCTAAAAACCTTGAACAAAGAATAGATGAATGGCTAACTAGAATAAACAGCATAGAGAAGACCTTAAATGACCTGATGGAGCTGAAAACCATGGCACGAGAACTATGTGACACATGCACAAGCTTCAGTAGCCGATTCAATCAAGGGGAATAAAGGGTATCAGTGATTGAAGATCAAGTGAATGAAATGAAGGGAGAAGAGAAGTTTAGAGAAAAAAGAGTAAAAAGAAACGAATGAAACATCCAAGAAATATGAGACTTTGTGAAAAGACCAAATCTACGTCTGATTGGTGTACCTGAAAGTGATGGGGAGAACGGAACCAAGTTGGAAAACACTCTGCAGGATATTATTCAGGAGAACTCCCCCAACCTAGCAAGGCAGGCCAACATTCAAATTCAGGAAATACAGAGAATGCCACAAATATGCTCCTGAAGAAGAGCAACTCCAAGACACATAATTGTCAGATTCACTAAAGTTGAAATGAAGGAAAAAATGTTAAGGGCAGCCAGAGAGAAAGGTCAGGTTACCCATAAAGGGAAGTCCATCAGACTAACAGCGGATCTCTCGGCAGAAACTCTAGAAGCCAGAAGGGCCAGTATTCAACATTCTTAAATAAAAGATAGAATCATTAGAAAAGGCTTGATGTCAACAGCAGTCTGTAGAATTTACAGTGTATAGAATTTACAATAAGTGCCTTTTTTTGTGCTCATCAATGCTCTGCTTGTGTTGTAGGAGAAGTTAGTTCCCTTGAAGAAATTTAAAGGGAAAGAAATGTAAATACAATTTCCAAATTGCAATGCAGAGGGAAAAAA